GACGAGGGGGGCCCCGGGGACCCACACAAAGCAGGGGCAGAGGCAGAGCCACGGTGACAGAAGGTGGTGATAAGGGCAGAAGAAGCAAAAGTAGAAAAGGGCAGAGTTTAGGTCATGGCTTCCAAAAAAAGGAGCAGAATTTAGGCTCTGCCCTCCAAAAAAGGGCAGAATTTAGGCTCTACGCAGGCAGAAAAGAGGCAGAGTGAAGCCCACCGAGATGCCATCAACCCTCCCAACCTGCTTGGCTGGAAAGCAGGACCTCAAGTGCCACCCGGACCAATTCTTGGTTGGTCTCAACCCATTGACACCAAAACCCAGCAGGCACCGTTGCCCCCGTGGCCTCCTACCCTGGGACGTGGCAGTGGGCGGCCGTCAGCACCCAGTTCTTGTCCACCAGCGTCCCTCCGCAGAGGAACTTCTCCCCTTTGAAGAGGGCAGCCTGCCAGGGCAGGTCGCAGGAGGTCCCCTCGATCACCCACAGGACGTTCCTCGAGGCTGTGGGGAGAAAAAAGGGAGATGACACAGGGGACACGGGTGGTCTGGGACCTTCTCTGATGTCATCCACCCCAGGGAGATGGGACACAGGTAGGATGGGACCTTCTGGTGTGACGTGGCCACCCCCTGGTGGCCCCGTCTCCATGTCCCCTGAGTCCTGGACAAGGAGGTGGAGCAATGGTGGAAGAAGGTGGTCCAGCTTGGGAGAGACCAGGAGGTCCATGGGGTGGATAGGGGACACCTGGGAGAAATGGGGGTCCCGTGGGTGGCCATGGGGTCCCTGGGGCAGATGTGGGGCACCCATGCCCGACGCAGAGGGTTGGGGAGCACCCAAGGTGGATGTGGGGTGGTTGGGGGGACACCCACGACAGACAAAAGCCCCCAGGGTGGACTTGGTGGTCCCCCAAGTAGACGTGGTAGCCCTGGGGTGGACACAGGGGTCCTGCAGATGGATGTGGGGGTCCCACAGGTGGACACAGGACACCCAAAGTAGATGCGGAGGGTCCTTGAGGTGGACATGGGGCACCTAGGGCAGATGTGGGGCCTCTGAGGAGGACACAGGGGTCCCACGGGTGGACGGGGGGCATCCAAGGTGGACCACGGGTGGATGTGGGGCACCCAAGGTGGACGTGGGGGTCCCACGGGTGGACCACGGGTGGACGTGTGGCACCCAAGTGGACGGGGGGGTCCCACGGGTGGACGTGGGGCACCCAAGGGGGACGGGGGGGTCCCACAGGTGGAAACAGGACCCCTGGGGAAGACACGAGACCCCTTGGAGAAGACGTGGGGGTCCCACAAGCTGGACGTGGGGTATCCAAGATGGACGTGGGGGTCCCACAGGTGGACGTGGGTCCTACAAGGTGGACGTGGGGGTCCTGTGGCAGGACACGGAGCACCCAAGGTGAGCGTGGGGGTCCCACAGGTGGACGCGGGACTCCTTGGGGTGGATGTAAGGGTCCCACGGGTGGTCATGGGGCATCCGAGGTGGACGTGGGGGTCCCACGGGTGGACATGGGGCACCCAAGGTGGACATGGGGGTCCAACGGGTGGACCACGGGTGGACGTGTGGCACCCAAGTGGACGGGGGGGGTCCCACAGGTGGATGTGGGGCACCCAAGTGGACGTGGGGGTCCCATGGGTGGTCATGGGGCATCAAGGTGGCCCACGGGGGTCCCATGGGTGGCCACGGGGGGGTCCCACGGTCTCTCCTACCTGTGGGGGCCAGCGCCAG